TTAGTGTGGATTGGGTCTGCTTTAGACCCCGTGTGATAACGTCCATTGATTGAGGGGAGAACTGCCATTTGCTGTCATGGCAGCTGACCGAGACATGAAGCAGAATATTTGGGTGTCATCAGCATATTGATAACACCCTGTTCCATGTCTCTTGATGATCTCTCCCAGTGGCTTCATATAAATGTTGAACATCGGGGACAGAATGGCACCTTGAGGAATGCCACATTTTAATTCCATTTTTGAGGAGCAGCTATCCCCGAATGACACCCTCTGGAACCTGTCTGAGAGGAAAGAGGGAACCACTGAAGAGCAGTGCCTCCTACTCCCAACTCTCTCAGGCGTTCCAAGAGGGTGCCGTGATCTATTGTGTCAAAAGCCGCTGAGAGGTCCAATAGCACCAGCCGGGTCATGCTACCCCTGTCGGTGCTAAGGCGTAGGTCATCTACCAGAGCGACCATGGCCGTCTCCACCCCATATCCAGGTCTGAAGCCTGTTTGAAATGGATCTAGAAAATCAGCTTCAACCAAGATCACTTGGAGTTCAAAGGCAATGGCTTGCTCGATCACCTTGCTTAGGAATGGTAAATGAGAGACTGGTCTATAATTTTTCAAATCCAGGGGGTCCAGGGAAGGTTTCTTCAAGAGTGGTCTAACAACCGCCTCTTTTAGATTTGATGGAACAATTCCTTCCCTAAGGGATGCATTAATGACCCTCTTAAGAAAGGCCATCAATGCACCACCCCCCTGGACGACCAGCCAAGATGGACAGGGATCGAGGGAGCACGTCGTCTTTCTCACTTTTCCAAGAATCTTGTCCATGTCATCGGTACTTACTGACTCAAACTGATCCAGTCTAATCTCACAAACGGGTTTATTGGACACCTCATCAGTCACTTCTGTTATAATCCCAGCATCTAAATCGGCTCTTATCTGAGAGATTTTATCTGTGAAATAGTTGTTGAAAGCATCACAGAAGGTTGTTGTCGGGTTAAGTAAAGGGTTCTGGACAAGTGGAGCCTGTGTCAGTTCCCCTACCACCCTAAACAATCCCACTGGACGAGATTCTGCAGACGCAATATGTGCAAAAAAGAACAAATTCTTCACTGCACGTATTGCCTCTTGATAGGAACGAAGAAAGTTCCCATGATGTGTCTTGTCAGATAAGAGTCGAGTTTTCCGCCAGGTACACTCCAGTCGTTGTCCAGCCCACTTCAGCTTCCTAAGT